TAAACTCGCCGAACATTTCTCAAATCCACCTTCCGATAATCTCCGTTCTTCTTCGTTAGATCTAGATCTGATCGCCGGCGATAGATTTTCCGGATCTTTGATCCGTATATCCAGGAAAAAATGGCGACGATGAAAAGTTTGATAGGGCTGATTAACAAAATCCAGAGGGCTTGTACTGTCCTCGGAGATCATGGCGGTGAAGGAATGTCGCTTTGGGAAGCTCTTCCGACCGTCGCTGTCGTTGGTGGTCAGGTTTGATCTCTTTCTATCTATGAACATAAACATTTTTTTTTTGTATGTAAGATCCGATCTCACTTCTCGCCTCTTTTCATCACTTTTAATGTCTACGTTTTCTGATCTGTTTTTGGTTTTGATTTATTTTGGATCAGAGTTCTGGAAAATCTTCAGTTCTAGAAAGTGTTGTGGGAAGGGATTTTCTGCCTCGTGGATCTGGTAAATTTATCTCTTGTTTAAGCAAATTTTGTCTGGCTCTCGATGCTTGGGATTGAAACTAGGTCTTAGCTATTATAGGTTTTCGGATTTTTCGTGCTTTTAATTGCTTCTATTGAAAAAATAGCGAAACTTTGATGAATCAGGCATCGTTACAAGGAGGCCATTGGTGTTGCAGCTTCATAAGACTGAAGAAGGGACAACTGAGTATGCGGAGTTTCTTCATGCTCCTAAGAAGAAGTTTGCTGATTTTGGTAGGTTGATTGAATCTTTCATGGGGCATACTAATTAATTGTCAATGAATGTTTGCTTCTTTTTTCCATATGAGATCCAGAAGGCAGGTTGGGGTAATAAGTGTTCTTCCTCTTTACAGCTGCTGTTCGAAAGGAAATCGAGGATGAAACTGATCGTATTACTGGGAAGTCGAAACAGATCTCAAACATTCCTATTCAGCTGAGCATATATTCTCCTAATGGTTTGTGCTTAAGGCCTCATTTCATGGAACGCATTCTTATAGTAGATATAAATTACCGCAGTGTGTTTAGAAGACCAACACAGTAGATTACTTACATTGTTGATGCCAGCAGGAATGAGTTAGACGTAGTAGGATTAGATTTTGAAGATTCGACTTTTTGCTATGCCTCTTTCATGTCGCTTTGATTTCTCACTCTATGAGGATGCTTTTCTTTGCAGTTGTTAACCTGACACTTATAGATCTTCCGGGTTTGACGAAGGTTGCTGTAGGTAAGAGATCTTTGATATCTATATTTTGTTCTTGTATCCAGTAGCTTGTGCTTAAACTGTTCACTTACATGAATGTTATATTTGTAGATGGTCAACCGGAAAGTATCGTCCAAGACATCGAAAATATGGTTCGCTCTTATGTTGAAAAGGTCAGTTTTGCTCTATGCTATTGATGAGCAGTGCCAACTCTTGGATGAAAGAAGGTTTCTACAATTTTGATAGATATACCAACCAAGTTGAACAGAAGCATGCATTTGATCGTCATTGCTTACTATATGATATGAAAATCCACCAGATACGAAAGTGACTGGGAAGGATCAAACTTTTTCTCTAATTAGTTAACTCTGGAAGCTTATCCAAATATTTTTTTTATCCGCAGCCAAATTGCATCATATTGGCCATCTCTCCAGCTAATCAAGATATTGCTACGTCAGATGCAATAAAACTTGCTAGAGAAGTTGATCCTACAGGTACTATTTAGATGCTCTTTCCTAGTAAGGAGTGACTTTTGCAGTTTTTATTAACCTTCTACTTTATGCTCTGTAGGTGAAAGGACTTTTGGAGTGGCAACCAAGCTTGATATCATGGATAAAGGAACAGATTGTCTAGATGTAAGGATTTCTGTTAAGTCCTGCATCTTGGTGTCTCAGCTAAATTAGTTACTTGTTTAATTACTTTGACACTTCCTCTCGGTATTTGATGCAGGTTCTTGAGGGAAGGTCATACCGTTTGCAACATCCATGGGTCGGAATTGTGAATCGTTCACAGGCTGATATCAATAAGAGGGTTGATATGATTGCTGCACGAAGGAAGGAGCGTGAATATTTTGAAACAAGCCCTGAATACGGGCACTTAGCCAGTAGGATGGGGTCAGAATATCTAGCAAAACTTTTGTCTCAGGTACCCTTATGATTTACTCGCATGGATTTCATCGACATCAAAGCTTTAATGCATAGCGTTGACTTTCTTCATACTTATTCTTTTCCTCTCTGTCAGCACTTAGAGACTGTTATCAGGCAGAAAATCCCCAGTATTGTTGCTTTGATCAACAAGAGCATCGATGAGATAAATGCAGAGCTCGATAGGATTGGGAGACCTATTGCCGTAGATTCAGGGGTAAGATCTTAAACCATTATGTAATCGGTATTGAGACTTCCATCAGAATCAAATGGATAGTTAGTCATCATTTTTTTTTTTAATCTCAGGCCCAACTTTACACAATTTTGGAACTCTGTCGGGCATTTGATCGTGTCTTTAAGGAGCACTTGGATGGAGGGTAAGTGATTTAGTTATTCTGCTTCTTTGTCGCCTAGCTCATAAATTGTATTGTATGTAGTATTGCATTGCAAAGACCAACTTGGAGTCTATGAATGTTTTAAAAGACTGCCCTTTCCAAAGTAATATACTACCCTACAATGATTCAGTTTGCAGTTGCACTTTGTTTACCTTCTGGTCAGTTTCCATACTAAAGATGTGCAGTTTTAGTAAAGTTCCTACAATGATGGCCTTTTCATAGATGTTTGCCATAAACGATTCACATCATTTCACAATGTAAGTCTGGAATAGTCGTTTTTCTCACATTTATCTTGTTGTTTGTGTCAGACGACCGGGTGGAGACCGGATTTATGGAGTTTTCGATCATCAATTACCAGCAGCCTTAAAGAAACTTCCGTTTGATCGACATCTCTCTACCAAAAATGTTCAGAAGGTTGTTTCAGAAGCAGATGGTTATCAGCCACATCTTATTGCTCCTGAACAAGGATACAGAAGGCTCATTGATGGATCCATAAGCTATTTCAAAGGACCAGCTGAAGCCACCGTCGATGCAGTATGCTTTTGAATCTTTATTAGATTCAGTTACTTATGAGACTTCATTTCCAATAAATTGACTTATATTTTTTTACACTTTTTTGATATTTTGTAGGTGCATTTTGTATTGAAAGAGCTGGTCAGAAAGTCGATTTCAGAAACAGAGGTGAGAATAGAGGCCTTGTGTTGTGAGAACTTCTCTTAGCTATTTACATTCTGTTTCAATTGTAAAATGTCA